GCCCCCCCTTTTTCCCCGCGGCAGTTTGCGGCCATCGCGACCAAGATCATCGAGCATGCTGGCCTCGATCATAAGGCCGCTGCGCTGTGCATCTGTCATGCATGTTCTTTCTTACTAGTCCGATGTTGCTTTCAACCAGACGCTGTAGGCATTGCAGCGCCAACGCAACGCCTGGCATCACGGATGATCGCCCATTGTCACGGCCGTGGTACAGCATCGCGCCGCCGTCTAATGTGCGTCAGTCCGAGAGTGTCCATGTTCTAGGGTGTTGGCAGGTGGTAGTGTTTGCGGCTGACAGGGAAGATGGGTGAGGTGAAAAGGGAGGGTGAGGAGGAAGAGGAGAAGGAGGAGGAGGAGGAGGAGGAGAACCAGCATAAACCTACGATTTATCGACGATGCTGAAATACATCCTCTCTTGTATTCTTCCCCATAGGCCCTTGCAAGGGGTCATTTCCACTGCGGGACTTGCCCCGGTGGGGGGCAATCGTGTGAACATCACGAAGCGTGCCAAAACACCATTCTCAGGACTTCACAACGCCACGAGTAAATCTGACTGTTACGCTTGGCGATCCTGAATCGTGCCAGAACGCCGAACCTCGGACTTCAACACCGCGAATCAACGTAACTGTTTCGCCCCTGCAATCCTGAACCGTTCAAAAATATGGTTGCTGGTATGTTAGCCATGATAACCAGTGAACCTCTGGCAAATGTTGAAAACGAGTGTGCGCGGCGCTAAGGCGACAGCCAGATTCTGGAAATGATCCGCCCTCAATCCGCGAAGTTCGTGCAACTTTTTAAAAGAAATGCGCGCGGTGCTCAGGCAAGAGCCACATTTTGAAAACCACCCGCTCCCAATCCGCGAGGAGGAGGAGGAGGAGGAGGAAAAAGAGGAGGAGAGTTAGGAGGAGGAGGAGCAGGAGGACGAGGACGAGGAAGAGGACGACGAGACCACGAGCAGCACAAAAAGGATGATGATAACGATGATGTTGATGATGGTGCTGATGCTGATGCTCTGATGCTGATGCTGATGCTGATGATGCTGATGATGATGATGATGCTGATGATTGTGAGGAGGAGGAGGAGGAGGAGGAGGAGCAGGAGGGGGAGGAGGAGAAAAGGGAGTCGCCTGAGCGGTGCAGCGGACATACTTCTCTCTGATTCGCTCTCCTTCTCTCCCAACTTTTTGAGGTCAAGGTCGTCACCGGCACGGTTGAGGACAGGCTTGCATTGAGCGTCTCTTCACCGTCGTTTGGTCTTTGTCCAAACGCCAGATTTCCGTCAAAGGCATGATGAGCATCCACATGGTGGCTTGATGCACGATCAGGGGTGTTGCCCGCTGGTTCACCAGCTCTTTCCAGCTTCAACTCGGCTTGGGTGTACGCGCTACGCCAGAAGCGTGCTCTAAGTCACCCGCTGGGGCGCCAAGATCGCCAATCTTCCTGCATATCGGTCTTGGTTTGGGTAGTATTCTTTTCGAGGCAGCCGCGCGACAGCGTGAAGCTCAGCGCGCCTCGGCGAAGCTAAACGCGCCAGTCGCTTGGCGCATCGCGAAGCGCGACGAGGTTGGCTAATCTCAAACAGTGGCGAAACGTCCTTGCGTGCCCATATGCCTACCAAACAATGTTTTGAAAATCTGTAGTGGTTTCCTCGAACTGTTCTTAGAACATTTCTGGCTGGGACTGTCTTGTTTTAACACATCGGGTTTCTGTTCGAACCACATTTTTGGGTTCTAGGAACATTTCGTGGTAGGCCTATAGGAATACCGGGAAGGTCGGTCCCTGCTCAATAATCCAGATATGAATAATCGTTACAACGATGTTGGAGGGGAGTTTTCCTTCGGTGGGGACCTGTCCCAGGGCGGCTGGAAAGATCGTAGCGTCATGGCGGTACGTATTGGGTGTATTTTTTACAGCCGCCTTTGAACAGGCATACCTTGAGCGGCACACTTTTCTTTGCACGAGTAGATGTTGCTTCTGGTGCGCCGCTACTTCACACATCATCTTTTCGTTCGCATTATCCGTGCACGAGGTTTGCACGCGCTCTCCTGACGTTCCAGAGATTGCCAGACCTTGAGAGGTAAATACTTGCTCTCGCTGTCACCCCTTCCCTCTCTCTTTTCCCCCGTCTTAGTCTACTACATCCCCACCGTGTTTTTCCCTCCTGCTCACTGCTCTCTGCCCTCTGCTCGTCCTTCCTCCTCCTTGCAGCTTCTTTCTCTTCCCTCCTCGCTTCTCTCCTTTTCCCCACGTCCTATTTCAGGGGAGTGGGGATGGGGGTGAGGATTTGGCGTTGGAGGACCTCAGAGGGAGGAAGAATTGGACGATGAGGAGGAGGAGGAGGAGGAGTCGGAGAACGTGAGAGAAGAGGAGGATGTTGTTGAGGAGTGGAAGGAGGGTGAGGAACACGAGGAGGAGGAGGATGACGAGGACGAGGAGAGGGAGGAGGAAGACGAAGAGGGCGGGGCGATGTGTTCAACCGTTCGCTTCATGTTTACAGCCGGACAGGCACGGCGAGCCTGACTGCCGGGGCCAGGAGGACTGTGACGCATGTGGGCACGAGACCTCGCTGGGACTGGGCTCAGGGTGTGACGGGGCGCCCGAGGCGAGACCCGTCCAAGCGACCCGATGCGGGGTGGCCCCTCACAGGCACGCGAGGCCGAGGGGCCAAGCTTCACCTGGACAGGGGCCGAGCGGCGTGACATAGCACACGCCAAACCGGGCTGGACCACGAGATGAGTCGTCCAAGGCTGGCGGAAACCATCGGCCCGAGTTCCAGGGCAGGTTGCGCCTCACCTGCACCGCCAGACTGGACGACATTAAAGTGGAACTGGATCATGTGAATCAGGCCACCCAGACACAAGCTGCAAAAGGCGAGGCAGCCCTCGGCAGCCCCTCTCAATGGAGGCACATCCTGAAACAACTTACATTGAAGCATCATCCACCGCGAAGCCGCGGGGGCGCGCGAGAGGGGCCTAGTGCCGAGTCCTTCTCTTCCAGACGAACTGGTCGCTGATGACGAAGTGGCCTCAGTGACTTTGTACAGCTGAGCTGACCGAATGAGGGATTCAGCAGCCGCTTCAATTCTGCTTTCCTCGGCTGGGGAAGACATGTTCGAACAAGAATCACGGGCAGAAGGATAACCACTGGGGTCAACAACTCCTTTTATCTTGCCAGGGCCATTAACGGAGACATTGGATCGTTTGGGGTGCTTTCCCTGCAGATCATCGACCACACCCACTTCGCAAACTTCGATGGGGGTGGGAAACACCTGCTATTGAGGGCTACCACACGACCATGACAATTGTACTTTGCATGCTGGGCATGTATCCAAGAGAGAGCCGACACTACACGGCAGTTTGATAAGTACGCCCATTGTCAGCAAATGGTTGGAGGTACGAAGAAGCGACGGCGTTTGGGCAACGACCAGGAGAAGGTCTCCTAGGCCATCGTTTTCTGCTAACTCGTCAGCATGTGCCACATCTCCAGCATGTGTCTAAGCAAGCCTTGTGGTACCTGAGTGCTGAGTTCTCTTCCTTAGCAGGTGTGGGAGGAGGAAGACGGGTGACTTCACCGAACTCTCGCTGCGGGTTCCACAGGGGCAACAGTTCAATGCTGAGAAGAAAAACAACTCTGGTATCCGTGAGGTCAAGCTCTATCTTGTCCGGTACCGATGGGTCGGGGGCCGAGGAGGAAGGGGTGGAGGACGAGGAGGAGGCGGCGGCGTGCGTTGGGATGGAGGAGGGGGGCGGGGGGCGGGAGGAGGAGGAGCAGGAGGACGAGGGCAATCGTACACCCAGGAAGCATCAGCGATGCACAACAACATAACTTCCCGATGCAAGTTTTCTCCCCGCGAGCTACTTCACGTTTTTTTTGTTGGCTCGTGAAAACGCCCCCCTGGAGCGACGACCGCCCTATGGTCCCGCCATCCAGGCCGCACCCCCATTTGAACTTACGTCGGGCCTGTCCGTCTACAGGGGGGGTATTTTAAACAGTGCAGAAAATGGAAACGCTTTTTCGATTATTTTATTAATATTTTTGAGTACATGTTGGGTATTATTTCTTTTCTTCCGAGGTCGCCCTGTAGGGGGACATGCCCGACCCAAATTTGAACTCGAAGCGCTCTTTATCAGTGCGCTAAGTCACCGCGCCCAGGTGTAAGGACACGTGCTTCACGTGAGTGCCACGCAACACGTCCGTTTTGCGAAGGAGCCGCCATCGATGACGGACGCTGTCCCGCGTGCCTCCGCCTCGGATCATGCAGGCCGCCGTGACTGTACCCATCGAGGTAGCTCTGGTCGGAGCAGAGGACCGCACCCGATGCGCCTGACGGCTGCACGGTTCCGTCTCGGGGCAGACGGTTCCGGAGCGTGTCGGGCGAACGCCGGGTTTTGCAAGGCGCCGCCCTCCGTGCGTGCATCGGGTCTCCAGTGTGCGGTTGCCGCTGGAACGCCTCATATTCAGCCCCTGTAGCGGGCCAAGGTCCCACTGCAACCAGGAGTTTGTTGCTAGCACTCCTGCTGCCCAACTATCGCCGTCATCTGCGAGTGCGAGTCGTGCGGTGCGAATCATTCGGCTGTGCCGCGGAGTCACAGAGGATTGGCAGTCGGTCAGCCCAAGTAACGGAAAGAGCGAGGTACGAGTGATGACGTTGTGTTTGGGCGAAGCCTTCTAGGGAGGGGTCCAGGGGAGGGGGGTGGGTTGCAGGGATGCGTGGTAATGGCCGGTTTCGGCTTTTCCTTATGTTTTTTTTGTATGGTTTTCGGATTCTCCCCATGTCCGTCCCAGAAGAGCCCAAGACCGCCCAAGACAGCCACACGACCTCCCAAGAGGCCCTCAAGAGGCCCCCCAAGGGGCCCCAGGAGGCCAAACTCATTGCTTTCTTATAGGACAACCTACATGTTTAGCATATACGGCTTTTCGGCTTTCACGGCGTTGACGACGGCCCAAGAGGCCCCCAAATCCGCCCCAAGACGGCCCAAGAGGCTCCCAAGATGCCTCTACCCCCATTCCGTAGCCATTTTGGCTCAAGCCATTTTGGCTCGAGCCGCACAGGCCACAGGCCGAGCCCCGGCCGCGCCCCGCGAGTGCCACCCCGCCCAGCCGTGTGCCATATTAAGCTTTTGACGTAAGCGCAGGATTTCATTGTGTTGCTGCGCGGGTGCGCACTCAGCACTGCGCTGGCCCCCTAGATACCGCTGGCACAATGCAGTCGAGGAATTTGAAAACCTGCAGGCCTCTCCTTCGCCAGAAGACATGATGCCGCAGAACAAATCGTCTCGTGCCCGCTTTGCTGCAATATGCTCTTGCACCTCGTGTTGTTTTCTGCTTCTTCCCTTGGGTATATTCATCATCTTCCCTCTTATCAGTTCTCCTGGGTATCTTCTTGGCGGAGGCGATTCAGATGATACTGGGGAAGACCATCCATATTTAACCATCGACGCATGGAATCGCATTAAAGTTGAACCGCACATCATGACGCGGGGCTTTCCGTACGAGCAGCTGTACGTCATCGAAAATTGGGGCAGTGCCAAAGATTGGAAGTCAAATGGCACTCATGTCTACGTTCCATATGACAACGGAACAAATCCCATCCAGGCCAAGTATATCGTAGACAGGCATGCCGAGGGAGATTTCGAGATAGGTATTTCAATCCAAACGATGAGCTGCAACATGTTTGGAGCAATCTCCCCAACAATCAAGCTCGGGACAGCGGAAAAGATGCACGTCTTTAAAACCGGCCAGGCGCTTGATTCACGTATTTTTGATTCGGCACGCGCCGACGTACATAATCAGTGGCGCTTGACCAGATGGATCGCAAGCACATTTGTGGCGCCCCGGAGGTATTTAACGTGCCTTTTTTACATGGCGAACATGGTGGGATTACAGATGCGTGAGATTGGTGCTATGGATGCCCACCAGCTTCAGCCAGTGTGGGACTTCGGCAAGCAGGCAACAAACAAGACGAGCAATATCACAAAGAACATCTCAAAGATGCGCGCGCAACTTTCATCTTGGTTTGAAGAAGCCAAAGCGTCTGACATGAACTTTTCGGAGCCCCTCGCCTCGAGGGCGACTTGTATGCATTGGGACGACACTCGGATAACAAGGTACGGTGCTGCCGGAATGTGGGTGCCTCTGGATACAACGTTTACGGCCTACCGTGGCCAAGTCATCACAGCTCCGTTCTTGGCTTGGGAAGTCATGGCTGGCGTGACAGTGTGGCACTACAGCAACCACAGGAAAATCTGATATCAGCGTCCCGTGGCGATTCTGTCAAACCTTCTGTGTTTATCGGTCCTCCAAATGGGGATTCGATCAAGGTCATTCCTCCTGCCCGGAAAGAAGTCCGAGGCAGGTCGCTCCTCTTGCATGCGCTTTACAGAGCCATCAATTTGATCCCATCCGACTACAGCTTTTTTGACGTGGATCCAGAAGCCTTGTGCCCAAAATCGCTTTATGACAGGTTGCACGCGCGCATATCGAGCATCGACTTTCAGAAGTTCACTCTCGGTGTCCACAATTCGCATCCTCCACCAACCTTTTTTGAAAAATCTTTACGCTTCGCGTATCCCCACCAGCCCATCTCACAGCAGCAACTCTTGCGAAGCATGCCGACAGTCGTGTTTTTTCAGGCGTGTGTCCGCTTGGCCCCGCATATCTCCCCTGTTCCTCCTTCCCCCCGCCTCCTTGCACATCCTCCTTGTGGGGGTGGGGGGAGCGGGAGAAGGGCGAGGCGGAGGAGGAGGGAGAGAAAGCGCTCCTCGTGCGTGAGTCGTTCGGGCTCCTCGTGGTGTGAGTCGTTCGGGCGCCTCGTCCTGGTGTGAGTCGTTCGGGCCCCTCCTTGTGGTGTGAGTCGTTCGGGCTCTTCGTGGTGTGAGTCGTTCGGGCCCCTCGTCCTGGTGTGAGTCGTTCGGGCTCCTCGTGGGGCCTCTTGGGGGCCTCTTGGAGCCTCTTGGGGCCTCTTGGGGGCCTCTTGGGGGCCTCTTGGGGGCCTCTTGGGGGCCTCTTGTGGCCTCTTGGGGCGCCCCTTGGGGGCCTCTTGGGGGCCTCTTGGGGGCCTCTTGGGGCCGCTTGGGGGCCTCTGGGGGGCGTATTGGAGGCCTCTTGGGAGCCTCCTGGGGGCCTCTTGGGGCCATCTTGGGGCCTCTTGCGGCCTCCTCAGAAGCGCACATGAGAGCTGCCCCCTGAGAAGGACACAATGAGCCCCAAACCTTCGTAAAATCAATGATTTTGCTATGAAGGACGATGAGCGCGGCCCCCTTCAGAAGGCCAAAATTGGGCCAAAACCATGGTAACATCAATGTTTTTGGCTTCGCAGAAGAGCAGAGGGGCCAGCCCCCCCCCCCCTCCCTCGGGGCCAGAATCCTTGTGAAGGTAGTCGTTTTTTTGGCCCTCCCAGGAGTCGAAAAAGGTCCCCCTGACGACGCTCGGGGCTCCCTGTCCAGGTCCAGGGGGAGGGGGGGGGAGGGGTAAACCCCTCCCCGAAGGGGAAGAAGGGGGGTTGAGGACAGAGAAAGCTCGCTAAACCACTCACGCCCAAAGGGCTGGTGGGATTGGGGTTGCTGAGCCTCGTCATGGACTACAACAAATGCGCAGCAAATTTCTTGCGTCCATGGCAAACCATGGCCACATATTATGAAATGTCTACCGTCTCTCAGGCTGCTCATGGTCTGTTGGGGGTTCCACCATCGATAGTGATGCCTGTGCTCGGAGGGCGATTCTGGATGTCGATTGACACAGACATCATATGAGCAGCCTTTGACAGTTAAAAAAAGCCTCTACCCCCAAAACGGCCCAAGAGGGCCCCAAGACCGCCCAAGAGGCGCCCAAGACGGCCCAACGAGGGGGACCACGAACCGATTTGTTTAGCTTGTGGGCGCTTCTTGGACCGTCAGAGGCGCCCAAAAAGGCCCAAGATACCTCCAAAACGCGGGGCGCTTCAAGAGAGCCCAAGACCGCCCAAGACAGCCCACGAGGCTTCCAAGACGCCCCACGAGGCGCCCAAGGGGCGCTCCACGAGGGCCCCAAGAGGCCAAAATCGTTGATTTTCCATCGGGGAACATACTTTTTGAGCATACGCGACTGTTCGGCTTGCACTGCGCCGACGACGGCCCAAGAGGCCCCCCAAACAACCCCAGGACGGCCCAAGAGGCTCCAAGAGGCCCCCAAAACGGCCCGAGAGGGCCCCAAGACGGCCCAAGGGGCGCCCAAGACGGGCCAAGAGGGCCCCAAGACGGCCCCAAGAGGGGGACCACGAACCGACAAGTTTAACTTTTTGCTTCAAGATGCTTTCAGGAGGCTCCCAAGAGGCCCCCAATATGCCCCCCCTCCCAAGAGGCCCCCCCCAAGAGGCCCCGGGAGGCCAACGTCATTGATTTCCTATAGGAAAACGTACACGTTTAGCATGCACGGTTTTTCCGCTTTCATGGCGCTGGCGACGGCCCAAGAGGCCCCCAAGACCGCCCCAAGACGGCCCAAGAGGCTCCCAAGAGGCCCCCAAAACGCCCCAAGACGGCCCAAGAGGCGCTCAAGACGGTCAAAGAGAGCCCCAAGACGGCCACAAGAGGGGGACCACGAACCGAAAAGTTTAGCCTTTCGCCCCAAGACGCTCCCAGGAGGCCCCAAGAGCCCCCCCAAGAAGCCCCAAGAGGCGCCCCAAGAGGCCACCAGGAGGCCAAAATCATTGATTCCCTTAGGACAACGCGCATTTCTAGCAGATTCGACTTTTCGGCATTCGCGGTGTTGAAGACGGCCCAAGAGGCCCCCAACACCGCCCCAAGACAGCCCAAGAGGCCCCCAAGAGGCCCCAAGAGGGCCCCAAGACGGCCCCAAGAGGGGGACCACGAACCGAAAAGTTTAGCTTTTCGCCCAAGACGCTCCCAGGAGGCCCCAAGAGCCCCCCCAAGAAGCCCCAAGAGGCGCCCCAAGAGGCCACCAGGAGGCCAAAATCATTGATTCCCTTAGGACAACGCGCATTTTTAGCAGATTCGACTTTTCGGCTTTCACGGTGTTGAAGACGGCCCGAGAGGCCCCCCAAACCGCCCCAAGACGGCCCAAGAGGCCCCCAAGAGGCCCCAAGAGGGCCCCAAGACGGCCCCAAGAGGGGGACCACGAACCGAAAAGTTTAGCTTTTCGCCCGAAGACGCTCCCAGGAGGCCCCAACAGCCCCCAAGAAGCCCCAAGAGGCACCCAAGAGGCACCCAAAAGGGCTTCCGTAGCCATTTTTGCTTAAGCATTTCCCTCCCATGTGGCGCGTGGATCGGACATTGGCAATGGTTGGGCCAAAGTGCGTGGCTCTTCTGTCCGTCGTGGGCGTGGTCTGGACCACTGTTTCCACCTATGCTATCCTGAACAACGGGCGGAGGTTGGCGCACGGAGTCCGCTTGACAGAGCCAGCTCCGACGGAGCAGATCTCAGCGGCATCTACCGCAGTAGCAGGCACGACCGCTGAGCGACTGGCGAGCAGCACCAGCACCACTACCAGCAGCACGACCAGCATCACTACCAGCAGCACGACCAGCAACACTGTCAATGAGGGCCCAGCACCACTACCAGCAGCACGACCAGCACCAGTGCCATGGCATCCGACCAAGTCGTCGTGAACATCGGATCAAGCTGGGAGAACCACATGTGTGTAAACGCTACATCATCAGTCAGTTGTGACGTTGAGGCTGCCCAGCACGGATCAAGGCTCAACAGAGATTTCTCCGGGTCGACAGACACATTCCATTTGGTGGCGTATGGCAGTCGAGTTTGCGGGAAACGTACCGGCGACGCTGTGGGTGGATGGGGTATGAATTTAACGATCGGGTGTACGAGGTCGGCTGCGGCAGTCACCAGCCCGATCACGAATCCCATACCGCACCGATATGTGCAGGCGTGGTTTGAAGAGATGTATCCTAAACCAGAGCCGCAATTGCTTCACGCGAGGCTATCGTTTCAAGACACGTCGGCTTTTCCGGACAAGCCGTTGGTATCCATAGGCGCTATGTGCGACTGGCTGTTTATAGAGAACATGGCTGGCCCGCGCTTCCCCCTGCAATTCGTGAGGGTCCGCTCGCCCCCAAGGACTGTTTTCTTGGACTTGAGGTTCGAATTGAGAAAGATGATCCGCTTACTCAAGACGGATGTGTTTCCCTACATCGATAAGCCGGTCGTGGTCCTCACCACGTCGCAAGACAGGACAATTCCACATCAGCGTGATCGCCGATTTGGGAATCTCACTCAGGAAGCGTTGCAGAGTTTTGCCAGGTTGCTGGATGATCGTCTGATCGAGCGGTGGGTGACAGAGAATTTAGACGATTCTACATTCCACGATAAGCTCGCTGGGATTCCGACTGGATTCTACACGCCCAACTGCGAGATTGCAGGACAAGCTAATCAGGATTGCAGTCAGGAGTGGTGGTCGGTAATCAAGGCTGGATGGCTGGTGCCTCTGTCGCAAAGGCCGCTCACTATGAGCTGCAATGGCAGGCGTCATGACGAAGCCGCCGCGTGCCAGTTCACCGACAGGGTCAACGCGCTCAACAACTGCAGACCAGGCGGCTCATGGGGAGACTTCTCTGAGTTTCGAGGCGAGATGTTCAGCAATCAGTTTGCTGTTTGGTGGCAGAATCACTCTTTCGTCCTTTGCCCTCACGGCGGTGGCCTTGACCCCAGCCCAAGGGCTTTCATGGCCATCGCCTCTGGCACTATCCCAATCGTGCAGAGTACGCCTGGTCTGGACACGGTCTACTCTCAGCTCCCTGTGGCGTTTGTGCGTGATTGGGAGCCAGCGTCCATCTCCGTCGAGAAGCTGCAGCGCTGGCGGGATGATCTGGCGCCCCAGTATGAAGATCCCGAGCTTGTGGCGAAGGTGATCGCCAGACTCACAATGAAGCATTGGTGGGAGGGACAGTCAATCGCACAGTCAGGATGACGAACAAGACGAAGAGGAAGACAAATAATAAAAGGAGGAAGGCCGCCGCGCAGACAGCAGTGGGCATCCAAAGGGCTCCCACGCAGGAGGGTGCCGCGCAAACAGCGGTGGGCATCCAGAGGGCTCCCACGCAGCACGAGGAGGGTGCCGCTCAGACAGCAGGGGGCATCCAGAGGGCTCCCACCCAGAAAGAGGGCGACGAGCGAACAGCAGTGGACAGCGAGCACATCCCTACGCAGGAAGAGAGCGCCGCGGAGGTAGAAGCGGGCATCCAGAGGGCAGCGGGGCAGAAGGCAGGCTCCAGGCAGAGAAAGGGGGGCGGCAAGCAGAGAAGCTCACAGGAGACAACCAGGCCGCGCACAGAGCATGCTGGGAGCGCTGCGCAAGCAGCACCGGGCAGCCCGAGGGTCGCGAGGGAGCTGATCAAGCGAGGCTCCCGGCAGCAGAGGAAAAGTGGCGGCAAGAGCATGGAGGAGATCGCCAGGCGGCGGAAAGAAATGAGGGTCGCAAAAAGACGGGCAGATGAGGCGGCTCGCGCACGCGCGCAGGGGACTTGAAGGAGCAGCAGGATGAGGGCTCCCCGCCGCGCCCCTCGGCAGCGGGCCGCACGCACCGCAAAAACTGTAACCTGTAGGTTTTGTTGGGCCCCGAAGAAAAGGGAGACTGGAACAAGAACCAGAACTGGAACCAAAACCGTGACCTCGGGGCCTTTTTTGGGATCCCGAAGAAGAAGAAGGAAACCGGAACCAGGACCGGAACCGGAACCAAAACCGTGACTTGCAGCTTCCTTGGCCCCGAAAAAGGAGGAAACCGAAACCAGAATTGGAACCATATTCAGAACCGTGACCTGCGGTAGTCCACATGGCATCCCCGTGAAGAAAAAACTGGCACCATGAGGTGCTGTCTTGGAAACGGACGTTATTGAATAGCGGGTGCTCCCTTGGAGACGGAGTCTGTTGAGTACTGGGTGCTCTCTTGAAGATAGAGGCGTTGGGGCGGGCGGGCCGACGGGGGGCGGGCGGGTCGGGTTTTTAAGTTGACCTCTAGCGAGTGCTCTCTGGCAGCGGGGTATGTTGAGTACTGGGTGCCTTCTTGGACACGAGGTCTGTTGAGTACTGGGTGCTGTCTTGGAGACGGAGGCTTTTAAATACTGGGTGCTCCTTTGGACACGGAGTCTGTTGAATACTGGGTGCTGCCTTGGAGACGGGAGCTGTTGAGTAGGTGCTGCTTTCTTGGAGACGGAGTCTGTTGAGTAATGGGTGCTCTCTTGGAAACAGGAGGCGGACGGACGGACGGGCGGGCGGGCGGGGGGCGGGTGGGCGGGTCGGGTTTTCCAATCGACCTCTAATGAGTGCTCTCTGGCAGCGGGGCCTATTGAGCACAGGGTGCCTTCTTGGACACGGCGTCTGTCGAATTCACACGCAGGCAGTTGAGTAGTGGGTGCTTTCTTGGACACGGAGTCTGATGAATACCGGGTGCTGTCTTTGAGACGGAGGTTGTCTGAATAGCGGATGCTCTCTTTGGGACGGAGCCAGTTGAGTAGTGGGTGCTCTTTTGGAGACAGAAGCGGACGGCCGGGCGGGCGGCGGGGGGCGGGCGGGTCGGGTTTTTAAGTAGACCTCTAGCGCATGCTCTCTGGCAGCGGGGTATGTTGAGTACTGGGTGCCTTTTTGGACACGAGGTCTGTTGAGTACTGGGTGCTGTCTTGGAGACGAAGGCTTTTAAATACTGGGTGTTCCCTTGGACCCAGAGTCTGTTGAATACTGGGTGCTGCCTTGGAG